CAATTTCGACGATCAATTTGTTCATAATAAGGATTCAATGTATTGGCAATCCATTCGAAATTTACTGAATCTTGTAAACGACTTTTAATAAAATGATTTGTAGCATTGATAAATGCACCAGGTGCTTCACATAGAAACAATACACGAATGTTGTTTGAATCTTCATCATCATCGTTGTTGTTATCGATTAAATTAAATGTACAAAGTATATCATAAAATTTAATCCATGCACGTGTCAATAATGGTGGAATATTTCGACGAAAAAGTTTTGATCGATGTATGTGATCTTTAATTCCGGAAGAAATTTCAGTAAAATCTGTATGTTCATTCCAATCATTGATTGGATATTGACTAATTTGTCCTTTACATTCATTTAATTGCTGACGAATATTTTGTAATCGATCAATTTGCCATTCATCTTTAACCAGATCAAATTCATTATGATCATCATTATCGATATGAAATAATTGACAAGATTGTTTCTCACAATTGCATTTTATACAATATTTTGATGAATAATCTTCTAAAATCGACATGTTTTTTCGGTCGGGAAATTTAAATCGAAAATTTTATCAAGAAAAAAACCAAAAACGAAAATATTTGGTCACATGGAACACACACACACAAAAAAAATCGAACCGAACAGCGTAACAGCATTTATGAATGTATGGGTGTTGTCGTTCGATATATATCGAACGAGGTGTTTTGGGAGAAAAATATTGCCGAGAGAAAACAAGAGAGAGAGAAAAGCACCACATCACAACAACAACACAACAACAAATCTAATCGTGACATCATCTTTATTTACCCGATGTAAACGGAAATATGTAAAAGAATTTGCTGTGTTTTTTTATTTTTTTGAAGCGAAACAAAAAATTCCAGGTATAGTCTCATTAATCGATAAACAAATTGTGTGTGTTTTGTGTTTGTGAGTGTTTTTGTTTGAGAAAAAACCGAAGAAAAGATGGGTACGAATCTAAGTTCATTGAAAACAATCAAACAAAATGATTATATTAATAGATTAATATCGAATGAACATATTAATCCAAATGATACGAAATTTTGGAATGAATTTCTTTCATTTGCATTTACCAATTTAGATGCTATTTGGTGAGTATTTTCTTTTTTGTTTGTTGGTGANTTGATTGGAATGTAGTCCGTTAATTAACTAATCAAACATTTTGTATTTAAACCGATGAACACTCAGAGGTGTTTATGCATTGAGACATATCAACTCAATTGTCATCAGTTTATTTTAATAAAATCAATTATTTTATAATCAACGACGAGTTTCAATATTTGGTCCGGTATCTCCACTGGTCATAATACGTGGATTGAATCCTACTTATTCACAAGCCAACAGGATAGTTAACCCGTGGGAATCTCCAATGTATTGTTCGATCTAAGGCGACCAACAAGACCTATCAAGCCGAAACCAGTCGTTAATTTGTTTCAACAGAACGAGATCCGAATATTCGCTACATCAAAGCCGATCTTAATTGGTAAGTAATAACCGATAGAGATTTAATGATGGAAGGTGAAAGTTCAGATAATGTTCCCAAAAACAATTTTGATTCATTAATAATTGAAAAATCAAGATTACAAAAAAATTTAATTTCTTTATTCGTCAATATTTTCAAAAAACAAATCTCCAAATCTGAATTCATCAAGAAATTCATTGCATTTGAACAAGAGATTGATAATTTTCAAAAAATTTCATCAAATTTTATTCAAAATAATCCAAAAATTTCGTGTGACAGTCTAATTTTTCTGACACCCGAAAATGTTCAAATTTTCGAGCAATTAAAAGAAACGCTGGAGGAGTTTCTGAGTCAATTGATAGATCCCGAAACAACTATCACTCAGAACGTTCAAATGGCTTCCAGTTCCGAAACAGAGCCGATATTTGACGGGCTCCCACATACATCAAGAAATCACATTACTAATCAATCGCAAGCGGATGGGAGTTATCAAAATTTAAATTCAAATATTTCAAATAATTTTCAAACACAACAATATCAAAAATTAAGCCATCACCAAAACAACCAAAAAGAATTTAAAGCAGATAAAGTGGCATTCATTCCAAATTTCGATGGAAATTTCAAAAATTTCAATGATTTCTATCAACCTTTTCAAAACAATGTTGATCAAACAGATCTAGATGATGCTACAAAATTACAAATTTTGAAATCAAAACTTGATACAACAACAAGGCAGTGGCTGGATGGATTTTCAACAGATGCTGATTACGAATTGGCAAAACAAACAATATTAAAACATTTCCATTCAACATTTGCATTGAAAAATGAAGTTTTAAGAAATTTTGCTGAATTAAATCCACCAATTCATGATCAAGATTTGAATGGATACCGACAAATGTTAACAAATGCTCGCAGTTCTTACCTTCATTTAACCAGAGCTGGAGCTGATGATTTTACAATTACTACATTAACAAAACAAATCAAAGCAAAAATGTCACCAACAAAATTGGCAATTCTGGAAGATAAACCGCAACATAACGAAATCACTTTTGTTCTACAATATTTAGAAAAAGTGGTAGACAATCTGCAAGACAACAGCGACCCATTTTTGAGTATCAACAAAACTTTCGCAGCTTGTGGACGTATTGAACAACCAAAACATCATGATTTTTATCAAAATATCAATCAAGGTTTTTATGAATCAAACAAATACGAAAGACCAGTTCCTCTTAGCCAACAAATAACAAAAGAAGAGCTAAGATCTACAACTTATTTGAGACCTAATTATTCCAATGGTCAAGAAAATCAACACAAAAGTAATCGTTTTAATCATGAAAATCAACGTTCACATCAAAACGATCAAAAATATCGAGCACATTATGACAAAAATCAAACCATACCAAAAGTAATCTGTTCAATCGAAGCAGATAATTTACCAATTGAAGAACCAGAAATTGTTGACAATCCAAATCATGTAAGTTCAAATGATCAAAGAGAATGTTACTCCTTAAACAAGGAGAATAAACAGAATTTGATACCAGCAGTTTTAATCAAAGCAAATTTGAATGAACAGTTGGTTACAATCCAACTCGACCCAGGCTCAAATGTGAATATAATGTCAACAAAAACATGCGAAGATTTGAAATTACCAAATTTTGATAATGAAGTTCAAATCAAAGCCACCGAGCACAAATTCAAGTCACAAAAAGCTTGTGTGACAAAAGTGAAAATTGGCAATATAGAAAAAAGAATAATTTTCCAACTGATCAATGATGAAATTCCTATTTTGTTAGGAAGAGATGAACTATTGGCATTCAAGATCATGATAATACCAGGAGAAAATGAATTGTCTGCAATTCAAATGATAAAATTGGAACAACCAGAATTTGAACAACCAAAAAAGATTCAATCGAAAAAGAAACGTTCGAAGAAAAAATCAAAAAAGAAAAAGATTTCAACAATTACTATCAAAAATAATGAAGACCTTAATATTGATCAAATCGATCATCAAGTTCCGATAGTTGAACAAGTTCTTCAAATCAACAATCCAAAACCGACCCCATCAAAAATAGATCATGAAGGGGAAGATAAGGCAAATATTAATGGCCATGAAGTTTTCTGTATTGATCATTGTGAAACCAAGCCATCAATAAAATCTGAAAATTTAACCAAATCTTTGGAGAAGAAAGATGTTCAAAGTTCATACCATAAACCAAAGTTTGTGTGTCCTGATCAACAATGCGAAAATGACATGACGTTTGTTTGGGACATTGAATTTGGTAAAATGAGGGAAGTATTTTTGAAAAAACAAAAAAATGATCAATTAAACATGATAAGGGAACCATTATCTGATAACCTTAATCCTTTCATCATTCCTTTCTCGAAGGTTATTACTTTTACAGGAAATAGCTGCAATGATGGATCCCAAACGCCAGAAATAATCGACGAAACTTGGAAACGGACCGATCCCCAAGATCAATGGATTGGAATTTACAAACGATTGGTCGATCGCAGATATTTGGAAAATTTTGAAAAACCTTAATCACATTCCTATTAATACTTCACCCGCCACCCTGAAATCAATCTAAAGGGGGGGCATGTAACATATGAAAAATATTTTTGAATGTTATTTAGGTTAATTAAGTTATGTTTGTATTAATCACTTGATTGGAATGTAGTCCGTTAATTAACTAATCAAACATTTTGTATTTAAACCGATGAACACTCAGAGGTGTTTATGCATTGAGACATATCAACTCAATTGTCATCAGTTTATTTTAATAAAATCAATTATTTTATAATCAACGACGAGTTTCAATATTTGGTCCGGTATCTCCACTGGTCATAATACGTGGATTGAATCCTACTTATTCACATATATAT